TTGAGGTAGGGAGCTGATTGCCATTCTATGCTCTGTTCTATGATGATGCGAAGCGTTGCAATTTGGTCTGCACATGATTTGTACTTCCTGAAGCCTACCTGTTCCGGTCGTAGTTTTGAGTCTAGTGCATCTTTAAGCGTCTCCAGGATGATGCGGCTTAATATTTTGCTTGCATTGGGTGGACAGGAGAGTGATTCCGCACCAGTTCTTGCAAACACTGAGGTCTCCCTTCTTTGGCAGTTTGACAAGGTTACCCTTCTTCCAATAGCCACGTACCTTCTCTTCATTCCACACCTTCTGCAATAGTGGTGTGAGCATGTCTGCTGTTGTCTCTGCATCTGTTCTCAGTGCTTCTGGCGGTATCCCATCTGGTCCTGCTGCTTTCCCGCATTTCAGTAGCTTTATGGCGTTCAGGACTTCCATTTTCGTTGGAGGATTTATGTTCACTTGTAGTTCTGTGGCTGGGCTGCAGGTGGTATTTCTGGACGAAGTGCAGGTGGTGGTCGATTCAAGAGCTTCTTAAAGTTGTCGGCCCATCGTTTCCTTTGTTTCTCTTCTTTCGTAATTAAATTTCCTTCTTCATCTTTTATTGGTTTCATCTGTGTTGATCTCTTCCCAGATAGCAACCTGGTTATTTGATACAATGTCGTCAGGTCTCTCCTACCAGCCTGTTACCTGTTCTGCTTCACTTGCCAGTGTTTCGTAGAAGTGTCTTTTGTCTTTGCGTGCACTCTTCTTCACTTCTTTGTCCAGTGTTTTATACATTGTGCTCAGTTCCTCTTGTCGTTGAGCATCCTTGCACTGGTTTATCTTCTGTTTCACCATCCTCCTCTCCTCTATCAGCTTCCAGGTATCCGTCGAGATCCATTCCTTGTCTTCTTTCCTCTTCCTTCCTAATACGGCTGTGCAGGTTTTTCTCCACATAGCTTTCAAAGACATCCAGTGTTCTTCCACACAGGTTTCTTCAGGAATGTTCCTCGATATCCCCCATTTTGTCTTGATGGCTGACTGTCGTGAAGATCTGCTTTGTAGTTTCATCCTTCAGTTTCCGAGTGTTGTACTTGAATTGAGGTCTATCACCAGCTTCCTTGAAGGCTTTTAACTTGATTTGGAAGTTAGGTTCCTTGCACTAGATAGTGGTCTGAACCTACATCTGCTCCTCTTCTTGACCTTGTGTTAAGTAGACTGCGTCTCCATTTTCTTGAGATTGAGATAAAGTCGATTTGATTTTTAATGTGTCCTGGTGTCTGGTGAAATCCATGTCGCTTTGTGGATATCCTTGTGCTTGAACACACTGCCTCCAATCACCAAATCGTTGAATGCACAGAATTCTGCAAACAATTCTCCATTCTCTTTCATCACCTCACCGAGCGCTTCTCGACCCATGGTTAGTTCTCTTCCTGTGTTGTCCCCTCCCAGTTTGGCATTCATGTCGCCCATTAGAATTTTGATATCGCCAACTGACGTCTTGTCCAGTGTTGATTGAAGTTGTCTATAGAGTTCCTCCTTCTTCTCTTGATCTGCATTATTTGTAGGTGCACAGCGTAGCGTTGTATGATTGTGACCTTCCTTCCTTTTGAGTTGAATCTTGCTGTCATGATCCTGATACTGGAAGAGGTTGGTTTTCACTGCATGAGAGCCTTCGATGGTGTTGGGGACATCATGATAGCCACTCCAAAACTCAGTGTGCTCGTGGTTGTCGTCTGGGTGACAATATTGGAGTAGATTATTGATTCTCCAGTTGACAGTTTGGAGAGTCCACTTCGATTCCATCTGCTTTCGCAGATTCCTAGCACTTCTATACCATACCTTCTCATTTCTTCGGCAATCTGGGCCGCCTCGCTAGGTTCATACATGGTGCGGACATTCCATGTCCCCATCCTTACTTTCACTTTCATCGAGAGAAGCGAAGACACATCGGCCAATTGGCCTCCCGAAGACTTTCACCAACCGGCGTCCTTTCGCCTCTCCGATTCCAGCGAGGAATGAGTTTGTTTTCATTTTTTATATTTTGTTTGTGCTTTGAAGTTTCTTTAGCGGTTAGATTTGTTTTACGGGGTAGGGTTGCTAGCCCTATGCCCAACCTTCCCTCTTTACCCGGTCTTAGGACCGGCTAGTAAGTAGTGAACTAGTTAACCAGGCGAGGTTATAGGCAAGTGTAATCGATTTTATTCCAACCCACTGGTCTAACAGTAAAATGTTCTTCATAAAAACTGAATGCCATACGTTCAATCGCTTGTGGAGTCATGGGTGTGTACTTTTAGGGTGTTCGATACCAGAGCCAAACAGCTTTATAGTGCTCCCAGATTTTCAATGGATCTCCAAGTGATATCAGTTCTTGATGAGCACTAAAGCGAAACCAATATAATCCCCAAAAGCCTCCAAACTGGAACATCAGTCACTCAGGTTGCGTCCATAGACTTCTGAAGTAAAATCCTGTATCCATCATATCTTCGTTACTATGTTCACGCCGAGGTGTATTCACTGAAATCTTGCGACATGGAATGATTTTGGACACAGAGATTCTATGCAGTTGAAAAGCTTTATGGACATCTAAAATGTAAGTTAGTGAGCTATGTAAACAAAGTTGTAGATAGATACAGGGAAGGTGATGGGAGGGAGCCTAAATTGAAATCAATATTCCAAGTCATCAGCCACCAGAGTAGACGTTTTGAACTTCACCGTTTGTTTCTTGTTACGATATAGCCAGAAAAAACCTTATTGGAAAATTCTGTCCTTCAGTTGACAAATCAAAATCAGTACGCAACTTCTGACCTAGTCGTTTTATATGTTGTTGAAAACTGTGTGTGAATGATGTGTTGTTGTTAAATAAAGTTTGTCTTCCTTACAGCCACAGGCCGGTTTTCGCGGCTTAGGGAAGAACAAAGTTCCGAGAGAGAACAGTCGCTATTAGTAGCCAGTCCAAGTGTCTCATTGTTAGTAGCTTTCTCTTATTTCGTATAATTTGTCAATCACTTTAGAAGGAAAGTAATAAACAAACGTGAAGCTCAGAAATTTGGATGCCAGAGATACCATCCTCACAAAAATCTATACCAATAATGTCAGTAATTTTGAAAGGAAAAACGGTTTCTGTTCATCCCTAGTTAAACTATAATGTTACGGATGGTACACTGGACTAACAGATTAAGGAAATTCACAGACAAGATAACAGGAAAGTAATCAAAACCAGGGTTTATATTGAGATATTACGTAGTAGAAGCTGCTGGACTCGGGAAGAAAGTTAGTAGTTGCATTACAGGCATACATTGGAAATTTAAGAATGGATTCTGATCAGTGAGTAAAGATCATAGAGGAGATGTGTAAAGGGTCAGATGGAGGTAAACAACAGTTAGCAAGGTAATGCAAGCTTAATCACAGTCTTTCTGTACACAGAAGTCAGGTCGTAATCGTTGGATTACAACTGCTTCTGCGAGCCGAAGTAGATTGATTGTTCTCTGTATACTGGCGGTTTTAAAGACCTGATGCTCCTCATCTGCAAGTCCTGTATTAGCCAGATGTTTAGCGATTGCTCGAGTAGAAATCCTTTCCACCTGAGTTTCCCTGCTCTCAGTCATTCCTATGTACCTGGTCCTGCGAGCGAATGTAAACTTGCAAATGCATTTAAAAAGACGTGCAGGGTATTTATCAACTTCAGTATTATTCAATGAACAGTTTTTGGTGTAAAGTAAGACCAAGATGACTGCAGATAAAATCGTTTTCAATCCTACTTTGATCATTTTGTCAATTTTTGCTGACAAGTTTAGATTTCACTAATTCCAGTTTTCTTTATTACATGACTAACTTCTGAAGGTATCCATTACCATCGTGATTTATCCCTCAAGCTTTTCTTTTGAACATAAAGCTTTTGCTTCATTGAAAAGTAACCTAACCTGAGGCTTTTTGTGACCAATGGAGGAAGAACTATTATGGTTCATATACTGACCAGTTAATGTACCTTCTGTGCAAATGATTTTCTCAATTGTTATCGTTTCTTCGTTTAGAAAAATCAAGCCACAAATTGATTATCATGCCCATCATCCATGGTTAACTTGATGTCAGCAAGATAGATTGAGCCTTTCAAACATTCAGGATGCATGACTCATCTAACCACGCACGCGTCATCAACATACCTGCAGTAATACTTAATTTTCTCAATCTCTGATTTCAGTCTTGTTTTTTTCTATGGAAGGCCATGAAGATGTTGATGAAAGCAGCCCTCAACAAAACAGAAATCCTGAAACTTAGGCAATTTACACAGGTCAGGTTTATGTCTGAAACTAAAATTGACAGTCTGATACCTTGAAAAGTTAAGCACAAAACCATTCATAGTAGATAAGAAATCATTTAAGTGAGAACAATATGATGACGAGGTGATAGATACAGAAACTGTCAAGTTATCACCATAATTAGGAAAACTGATGCTAGCTGGGGATGGTAAGTCGTACAGAAAGAAAAAAGAAATGAAGAGTGTCTTTGGAAATATCACTTTCAGTAAGTAATAAGGTTTAAGAGTCTGTGGATCACATGTTCTGCGTCCGTATAGGCTAATGTCACAAACTAATCGCTCAAAACGCAGAAAATATGACACTGTTGCATCCGTGAATCACTTACTGTTTACACAACTAATCAAGAAAAAAAAATCTATCTAGAAAATCGGAGGAAATTTTCTGCGACATCACAAATTACGTTAAATTGATGTCGATTTACTAACCATTGTAGAAAAATGTCTGCTAAGAACATCAAAGTATTCAAAAACACTGAAGATCACCTTAGCTACTTTTCATATAACCAACTAATTTCTTGTATTTCAGTTGGAATATGATTTCGTAGTAAGGTAGGGAAAGCTGATTAGTTGTTTCAGAATTTAACAAATCAATCTTTCAAACTAATCAGTGATCACCAGGATTCAATCCTTGATGAAATCCAAAGCTCAGGAAACATAAAGGGAAATAATGAACACATGAATAAGAAGAATCCAAAACTAACTAATTTATTATTTTTCATTCATTCATTTTAACTACAAGTTTACCACGTACACCTTTTGTATACAATCGATTAAATGCATCCGGTACCTGACTAAAATTATAAACAGTATCAATAGGAATAATTAATTGTTTACTCGCAACTAAATTCAACAAATAATGTAAGGCTTTATTGTTCGGTTTAAAGAATGCCCAACGTATTATATCACAGTTGGTTAAACTGACAACATTGTCAGTTTTCACGGAAAATATTGCTGCAATTCTTGTACTAATAATTTGTGTTAAAGCCAATCCAGTACCAAGAAATGGTCCCCAATAATCAGTTAAATGCAATAAGGATGGATTAAGCATTACGTAACGTGATTTGCTAGAAGATGCATTTAAGTAAGATAGCATAGGTGGTAGATAAGGCACTAAAGTGTTCAAAAAGGTATACTGACTTGATTGTTTATTAGATGAAGTGTAAGTAGTAGTGTTAGTGGTAGATGAGGAGAATGGTGTATCTGTGTTTATATAGTCTGGTCGAACACAATCAATAATTAGATCATATTTCATTAGGCTTGGAATTTTGGCTGGATGAGGAAATATCTGAAATGAAAAGTAAAGATACTCTTAATAGCACATGTATCAACATCAACATGGGTATCATAATCACAAACATGTAGCGATTACAGGTGTCTGCATAGCATTGCTCGTGTCTTATGGAATCATGATGTAAGCAGTGTTGAGATCAGGTAAAGGGTACTAGCAAGACAGGCAAGTCAATTGATGACGTTTTGAACCTTCATCGGCTGAGATGGCTTGGACATGTGTTGCTCATGTCGAGACACCGCTTACCTCAATGTCCCATCCTAGAGTAAGTTTGATTCAGTTGGAAGAGGATTCAAGGTGGTCAGATCAAGACATGGCATCAGTCCATGAAATCTCTGATTGTTAGTCTGAGCCATGTAGGGGGATGTAGATTGCTTTACTGGGGTCCCAAAGACGATGGTTGAGGACTGCTGGTGACATGGCTGGAAATCAGTTACAATGGCGCAGATTTATGCACTTCTTGATGTCTTCTAAAGCTTTAATATTAGCACAAACTGTTATCTTCAAATTGTTGGTTGTCTGACATAACTTTATCAACTTTATATCACTCTTTTTCTATCCATCTGTTTTTTGTACACTACTGTGAAATATGACAATTCGGAGTGATGTACTTTCATGCAAGGTTCTACGTTGATTTTGTCTGTCAGCTAGTCCACAGGTTGATTCAGTTTGTCACCGCAAACTTATTGTCTAATTATTATATATTATTATTTGTCCCTTGGGTTCCTAGTGGAACATGGGGCTTCAGTAGCATATAGTCATTTCACTCTCTACTCTGCAGTCTTCTCTTTTAACCTGGCTCCACCACTGCCCACAATCTTTCATTTCTTCCTCACATGATCTCCTGTATGTCACTCTCGCCCCGGACACCCAACTCGTCGTTTCCCATTTGGGTCCCACTCAACGACCTGGTCTGGCCTGGCGCGTGATGACCCTAAACGGCCTTCTCAGTGTATACCCAATCCATCTCCACTTCCTTCTGCATAGTTGTTGGGTGATAGGTTCTTGGTTGATTTGTTGACAGCCAGAGTTTCTTGTTGCTTATTCTTTCTGGCCATCTGATCTTCAGTATCGAACTTAGGCAGCTGTTGATGAATGTCTGTAGTTTGTTGGAAATGCTTTTCGTGACACGCCAAGTTTCTGAACAATGTAAGAGCATTGACCTGACGCTGGTGTTGAAAATCCGGATCATGTTCTTTGTGCTGAGTGTAGTAGATCTCATCACTGACTTCAGACTAATGAAGGAAGGCCCATCTTGCTGTCTTTCCGACCTTGGATGACCTTGACATCCTCATCTGTGCGCCACTGCCACGTGTAGTTGAGACGATTCTACCTAGGTAGGTGAAAGAGACAGCTTCGTTTAGATTTCTCCGGTTGATGTTGATTGGTGCTTTTCGTTGGTGTTGTTTGGGTATCTTCATAACCTCCATCTTCTCTACGTTCACCTGAAGGAAGTCCTGTCTTCCTTCACTGACTCGCCTCTTCTGCCAACTTGTTGGTTTTAGCCTGTAGATCTTCGAGTTTGTGAGACATTAGACACAAGTTATCAGCAAAATCCAAATCTCCTTCTAGGGTCTTTTCATCGGTCAAACAGCGTATGCCCCTCTTCTCGCTCCTCACAGTTTGTTGCATGATCCCAATCCGGTTGAGTTGACCACAATCATGAAGATCATAGGTGATAGTAGACGGTAGCCTTGTCTTAGTCATGTCTTCACTTCTGTGGACTGAAAAAACATTTACCGTATCCAATGCTAACTTTCAACTGTGATTGAGGAATAAATTTCAGTAAAGTGATACAAAATTCTTTCTGTGGATATTCAATCAACTCCAACTATCTAATTATTCCTTCTACTGACTTTGAAGCGGTAACTTTGAATTTATTATAAATATATTCGTAATGAATGCTCATGGATATTATATTGTTTGAGTAAAAAGTTCTACTACACTGTTGTTACTAAGATCAGAAATAAACGAATTGTCATATGGAAAACAAATGAATAAAATACGATAAATATTATCCTACTGAACAGTTAGCAACATGATATTTTAAGAAATAGGGATTTCTGACTAGATAATTTTGAAAAGTTCTTAGATGACACACAAATGAATGAATGGGGACGATGATCGCAATTTTAGAAACCTCTGAGTTAAGTAAGGATTTAAACTAGCTCCCATGTATATTCTTCTCTGTCCAGCTTCGGATTGTTTTCTCCAGTCAACAACTGATTCAAGGGTGTGTAAAACAAACTGCCACTTTGGGTCATCTCCATTTTTGTTTACTAGTTCACCTGTTCTTGTGGAGCTGGTTACATAGGTCGCACAAAGTGTGTTCTATCAAAACGCATCTCCAAAAACTATCGTGCATGGCTGTCTAAAGAAGAGTGTTAAGTGAATAGCAACTTGATTCTTGAACATTCGGTCAACTCTGGTCACTTTGTTCCATGAGAATCTTTTGTCAAATTCATTTATAAAGCGGAATCAAACATTTCTAAGAGAGTGCAGATTCGCCATCTAGACACAGAAGCCTTGGCAACTCATCGGCTTAAGCCTGATTCCTATGTTCAAAAGAAGTATGTTCAGTCTCTAATTTTATCTCGGTCATAATGCCTATACAACATTCTACTCCTTTCTTTGTTTATTTATTGTGATCCTATAAGCAATTTTTGAGGACCTTGAGTTAGTCTTCTAGCCATTATCACTTTCTGACTTTATTGACCGTTTTCGGTGACTTTATACTGACCCATTAACCATTGATGGATATATGTTTTGTTGAAACCATGATTACTATTGCACAGCTTTTGAAAATGATTCTTCCAAAAGAACTGAATTGACTTTTATCAATTTTTCTTATTCAGTTTTATTTGTATTGTAGACATAGTTGAATAGCTAGTTGCGATATGGAAAGAAGAGGGAGTTACGTATCTATCTGTTAGTTCAGTAAAACCTTCACAGGCTGAGGTGAAAAGCCAACCTGGTCAGGAACTCAACCTTGTAGTTCAGGTTCTGAAGCAATGGGTCGGTAACCTGTAAAATACTTGTATGAATCCTGTCATTACTTTTATTTTCGTGAATCAGCTACATTAAGATCAGTCTAGCAAATTGAGAATATTGCAGAAAGTCAGATCAACAAATGACGAGTTGGTTTTTCTAATTTAGATTCATATGAAATGAGTGTGAAGACATGGTTTAGTAGCTAGTGTGACAGTGATAAATGGGGACTCTTATTCTTATCAGGGATTATTAATGACCCTAGTAGTGAGGATATAAATCTACGAGAGAACACGAGTTCTTCCAAGATATCATATATGAACTACTGATAAACATCAATAAATAAGATATCTAGGTACTGTAAGGATTCTTAGCATCTAATACTAAAAAGACTGTTATCTGTTTGTAGTAGACGTAAATACAGTTGTACAGTGATAGGGAGCAGTTAAAACAAGAATCAACATTTTAATTAGTTAACATACAAGCTATAAGTTTTTGAGCTGCACATTTTGATCCAAACCGCTGTGTGGTCAAGATAGTCTCCTTGTTTATAAATGACTTTTTTATGAACCAATCTGAATAGATTAGTAAATCATTTTCCACATAAGTGTTTCCGGAACTGAGCTGATAGGAAGGCATTTATAGAAGATAAATAAACCAAATATTGTCATGTGCAGATCATATCCATTTTAAGCGACTCACCATAAGGCTAATCAGTTAATTTGCAGGAAGCTCTGGACCTAGGTTTTGTGGTTGACGTAACGCATCAGTAAGGCGTTTGCGCAACTATAGAGAAACTGGTATTCCCACAGTGATACAAACCCGCGTCACCCAGTACTGGAGTCAGATACAGCTAAGCTTTCAGATGACTGGATTTTGTCAACAAATTGGTCAATAGAAGATAACCGATGTGAACTTCTACAACTAACTGACTAGCATCGACCAGAGTCTATCGATCAGGGTGGTAAAATGGTCTATGAGCTGACTGACACAACACATCGCTCTGTATTAGTTCGCTGTTAAATGTAAGGAATCGACAGATAAACACTATTGCAGAGTTGAACAACGAATGTGATTCAACCCAATACGTGTGTTTACGCACTAGGTTTATGGTATTACCCGACTAGATTACCTAAACCGAATTAGGCGGAGCGGACATCGAACCTGTTACTTTTTAGTTGAAAGTAGATGGCTTAAACCGACTAGCCATAATATCTGGGACTGAACAAGGCAGAGTTGCTTAGCGACCACAAACTTTTCAAATGCACCTTGCAGATGACTGCCAGTAAACTCAAAGTTTATCACAGATGTGGTTTATTACTAATTCTCTTTAAAAATCTAACATCAACCATTCAACTTCATTTCGTTTACGAAATAGCATTCTATGGAGAAATATTAGCAAAATACTGAACGCTTGACACTACAAACAACAAACTGAGTATTTGTACTGGGTGATGATTGGAGGAGAAATGAAAATCTGAACCACGGCTGGATTCGAACAAGCGACCACCGGGTATTGTTTATCGAAATGAAGTCTGACAAGTAAACAAATACTGGATGAGGAAAATACCGTATATATATATATATATATATATATATATATATATATATATATATATATATATATATATATATATATATATATATATATATATATATATATATATGGTAGGTGTATCTGCAAGCCTGACGGAACTGATGTCACGCCTGAGATTCGATCTAGCATCACTCAAAGTCATCCTGAATGGTAGTCAGCCAGCGACATTACCACTGAGCTATTCGGGCTGCGACTAATACCCTGAGGGACTGAATTACTTACATTGATTGGTCACTGGAGAGTAACTAACTTCAAGTTGTCTAGTCCCATGCCCTGATCGAATTCCATCGATGATTTCGCAATGTGGTCACCAGACTCGGGAGATCAGCATCGCGATACACTGTGATAAATATCAGTTGAATGAAGTTAATCAGTAGGGGGCTGTGAACCTAGGTTTCATGCTTTTTGCCACTCATCAGCAAGGCGTATCTGCAACCTCGATTCGAACCTGCGTCACGTAGTGCTGCAGTCAAAAACGTTACCACTGGGCTATTCAGGTCGCTATTGACCTCCTGTAAGACTGGATTACATACACTGATTTGATCACTGGAGGGTAACCAACCAGCGACTGAAATGAAATTAAACCTATAGTTTGGTCGGATAGCTCAATAGGTAAAGCATAAGATCGGTAGTCCTAAGTGCCAATGCGATGGTAACAGGTTCAAATCAATTTTTGTAAAGATCGTCTTTAAATACTTAATACAATTTTGCTAGATGATGAAAGGGTTGAAAAATAGTTTAAATTTTAAAAATATAAATATAGAGTTAAGGGAAACTTATATTCACTTCTTCAATTTGTAAAGATTTCATTAAAGTTAATGCTTTATCATCACTTGGACACGTTATATGTACTCTCCAACCCCATAGTTTAGCTAACTGTGCAGCAATAAATCCAACTCCACCAGTTGCTCCAATTATAAGAATTAAATTATTGGTAGTAGAAGTATTGTTTAATAATGATGCACGATTTGAATATGTTTTTAAAATAGGTTGTACTCCACCGTAATCAACTAAAGCTGACCATGCAGTTAAGCCAGCATAGCCTATTGCAGCTGCAGTTATGAAAGAAACATTACTAGGTAATGGAGTAACATAATTAGCCGGACATACAATATACTCTGCTAAGGCACCAGATCCAGTGGAACTAAGAAAAGGCCAAGTAGCACCGGCTACATTTGTACCAATACATAATTTACTTTCGCTAGTAGTCAAGTTTGATGCAGCTACTTCTGGACCCATGTCAACTATCTGACCAGAGAAATCGCGACCAGGTGTAAAAGGGAAACCAGAGCTTTCTGATATAATAGTATTTTCTATATCGGGGACTCCAAAGTATCCATAACTTGATGTTAAACGACGTAGTAGATTAAAACTAGAAGAACCATATCCATAGATGAGTAAGGAATCCACAGGATTCAATGAAGCAGCTTTAACTTTGATAAGTAGCTGATCGGGACTCATTATGCTAGGCATACGTCTAGTCTTTGTTAGATGCAACTCGGATGTGATATCGATTGTACCAGGTCGTAGGAAATTCATCAGCTGCCATGCTGAAATAGTCTTTGGTAATTGTTGTGCCATATTATACATCACTTATAAATGAAAATATCCTGAAACGGAAAATAAAAGAAGAAAAGAAAAAATATCTATTACCGAGGAGGATTTCATAAATCACTTCGAAAAAATAGAAACAAAAAATACAGCGAGATAGGTTGATTAGATGAACAAGTAGTGTTTTTATTGCTTATCTCACCAGAATTAAAGTGAATCAAAACGAAATTATGTACGAAAAGAAGCCTTCCTTCCAATGGAAGTTTCCACTTTATAATAATTTTCCAAAAACTAATGAACCATTTTACGAGTTTTTGCTAGTCTCTCAAAGAAATTAAATTATCCTGAAAATGTCAGTTGCGTGAAATTAAACTCACCAGTAACACCGGTGATGAGACTTTGAATCTTGATTTGATCCGTGTGCGGTGATGCAGACTATCCCGTTGAGTTCTAGGGACGACCAAAATCTTGGTGACAGCTCAAAATAAATTACAATAGCTCGGATGTAGTCAATCTATAAAGTTTTCTAAAGATTGAATACTTACACTGACCATTATTTATATATTTTTTCTCCACCTACACACCTTTGTACACTTTGATATCACTCTTGTTCTGTCCACTTATTCATCGCATGTTACTGTGAAATCTCAAGAAAGTGGAAACGCAGCCTACTGGACACAACATCAAGGACGGAGAGCAGATGTAGGTGGTTGAGACCACGCACTATCTAGTGCGAGGAACCTACAAAATCAAGTTAAAAGCCTTCAGGGAACTTGGTGATAGACCGTAGTTCAAGTTCAACACCCAGAACAGAAACTGATGGACGAAACTACAAAGGACATCTTCACGTCAGCCATCAAGACAAAATGGGGGACATTAGGCAACATCCCTGAAGAAACCTGTATGGATGAGCACTGGAACTCTTTGAAAGAGATGTGGAAAGAAGCCTGCATAACCGTGTTCGGAAGGAAGAAGAAACAAGACAAGGAATGGATCTCCATGGAAACATAGAAGCTGATAGAGGAGAGGAAGATAAACCAGTGCAAGGATGGACAACGAAAAGAGGAACTGAACACAACCTATGCAACACTACACTGGACAAAGAAGTGAAGAAGAGTGAGCGCAAACACAAAAGACACTTCTACGACACATTGGCAAGTGAAGCAGAACAGGCTGCTGGTAGGAGAGACCTGACAACACTATATCAAATAACTAGGCTAATTTCTGGGAAGAGATCAACACAGATGAAACCAATGAAAGATAGTGAAGGAAACCTAGTTACCAAAGAGGAGAAACAAAGCAAGTAATGGGTTGACCACTTCAATAAACTCTTGAATCGACTACCACCTGCACTTCGTCCAGAAATACCAGCTGCAGCCACAGAACTACAAGTGAACACAAATCCTCCAACAAAAGTCGAAGTCCTGAACGCCATAAAGTTGCTGAAATCCGAGAAAGCGGCAGGACCAGATGGAATTCCTCCAGGAGCACTGAAAACAGACGCAGAGACATCAGCGGACATGCTCACGCCACACCACTATTGCAGAAGGTTTACAAGGAAGGAAGGGAAGGTACCTGCCCATTGATTGGAAGAAGGGCTACCTTGTAAAACTCCCAAAGAAGGGAGACCTAAGTCTCTGCAAAAACTGGTGCGGAATCATGCTCCTGTCCACACCAAGCAAAATATTAAGCCGCATCATCCTGGAGAGATTAAAAAATGCTCTTTATTCAAAATTACGGCCAAAACAGGCTGGTCGGCTTCAGGAAGAACAAATCATGTGCGGACCAAATCGCAACGCTACGCTACGCATCACCACAGGACAGAGTATAGAATCGCAGTCAACTGGATCTTTACCTCAACTTCATCAATTTTGAAAAGGCCTTCGACAGCATCGACTGACAAGTGATTTGCCAGGCAACTGCTTCAATACTACTGTCTCAGTGCCACAAACTCTTATCAACCTCATTCAACAGCGGCTATATGCCATATGATGAGGCTACATGCCAAGTGATTCACAATGGAAAGCTCAGTGATGCCTTTGAAGTGAAGACATGATTAAGACAAGGCTACCGTCTACTATCACCTATGATCTTCATGATTGTGGTCAACTCAACCGGATTGGGATCATGCAACAAACTGTGAGGAGCGAGAAGAGGGGCATACGTTGTTTGACAGATGAAAAGACCCCAGAAGGAGACTTGGATTTTGCTGATAACTTGTGTCTAATGTCTCACAAACTCGAAGATCTACAGGCAAAAACCAGCAAGTTTACAGAAGAGATCGTGTTAGCAAAAAATGAAAGCTTCTGGGCAGACGTGGAGCCAATTTCAAAAGACTGCAGAGAACAGAATGGAATGGGGACGTGCTACTGAAGCCCTATGTTCCACCAGGAAACCAAGGGACAAATAATAATAATAATAATAATAATAATAATAATAATAATAATAATAATAATAATAATAATAATAATAATAATAATAATGTATCTGTGAAGTGTGACGACTTGAGTCGATGCGCTTCTGTGCGAGGTTCTCTTCATCTGTCTCCCCAACGAAATAGCTGCATGGTGCTTCGATTAGTCTAGTGTTGGATGGTCAAAATGAACAAAAGTAGTCAGCAACCTTGTGCACATCCATGCAGTAGGCAATGAATCACACCTATTGTGTGAGGGTTAGTGGTACTATCTGCTGCCCAAACCTCGGTAGCGGGAGTAGAAATCGAACCCGTAACCCACTGGCTGAAAATTTATCTCCCTAAACCAATGGCAATTGACGCCGTAGTACTGATTTTATCAGTAGTATCTTTTTGAGTAAAGGATAATTGATTTCACTAAAGGCTTGATGTCCTCTCAACTTTAATATATTGGCTGGTGGACGGATCATCATCAGGCTTGATGAAATGAATATGATGCATTACACAGATCGATGTAAAATATGACATACATCATTTCAAGTTGATACACTCCATAGCAACATGCAAAGAATAGAATCACATTAAAGCAGAATAAAAGGTATGACTTGATTTGAAATCAGTAAATGAGGATCTATGAAAATGCTCAAAATTTTGAAGAGAATAAGGGGTGTAAACATTTGCCCTGTTGTAATCGATTTTGAGTTATACCACCAAGAGTCTAAAACCATCTTGAAGAGACTAACCAGGTAGCTTACACCTTCGTATATGGCTCAGTTCGACAGTTAAAGACTTAATAACGTAGTATCACATCTTTATCTGGTCACACTTATTTTCTTTCTAACCAAGTCCTAATTCGGCTAACACTACGCATCGGTAGTAGGTGGTAGTTCTTTACCAGAAAGATGTGTTCAAGTTTGTCAATGTTCCTAATCTCATTGACTGACTTTCCTTGTACTCTGCGTTTTACTGAATCATTGCTCACATGATGATCCAACTACAGGAAGACAATTATAGACAAAAGCTGGTAACTTCTTAATATCTCTCACTTTCAATAGTCATGCCTCACAGTCTTGTAACAAGACAGAGTAGATTGCAGTGAAGTATACTTGTCATCTGATAAGTAATCGAATACATTACCAGTGCTAGAGATGGTGCAAATGCCACATTCACCTTTTGTATCCAAATTGAGGCTCTGTCAGCAACCAAGTCATCAAGACTGATGCAACTCCTAAAGTAAGTCAAGTGGTTACCATAACGAAGTCCTTGATTGTTGGTGTGAGTTGTCTGGAGCGATGTAGACTGCCTAGTTGGAGTTCTCGACGTGGTAAGAATCAGTGGTTGAGGACACTTACTGACGTGGCTGAAAACCAGTTACAATGGCCTTGATGAATTCACTCATTGACATCTTCTAGAGCTTGAATATTAGCACTAAGCGTTTTCTTCAGATGGTTCATTCTGTTATACAACTTTGTCTCCTTTGATATTGGTATTTTTCTATCCCCCTGTACTTTGTATATTACTATGAAATGTGACAACTTCAACCAATGAACTTGTGTGGGAAGTTCTACGTTGACTTCGTTTATCTATTTGTTATTTGACTATTTTTAGTATGAAAGTGAGTGTTTGAATTCACTAATGTTCTGGTTCTTAAATTTACATAAATGAAGATATTATATACATGACTATTTGATTAAGTCTTTCGCTATTCATTCAGTTCGGCCTTAGAATAGTCATCATATGACCACAGTAGGTGATCTGTATGAATTCGTTAACCACTGAGTTTAGTGTGCAGTTAAACTAACCTAGACACTGAAGCATATATACAAGCTTAAAATCATTTTACAGTTACACCATACAGAAAGGGTATGAATGAGGCCTTCCTCTGTTGTCAAATAAGGAATAATTCCAGGTACAAATTATACTGACGTGGAATTAACTGTTTTGGAAACACCCAAGCCGAAAACTGTTTGTACCCAACTACAATACATATTGAACAAGCTAACAATTCTATCTAAAAAAAGAATTCATAAACTAATTTAGAACTATAATATCAAAACAACCTGTCAAGAACAGTTAAGTGAAATTGAAGAGTGATCCTTGTAATTAAACTTCAAGTGATTCGCCTCAGATACCCCAAACTTTTCTGTGCATAAGTGAGTGAAAAGCGCCTTTGTGTGTTTCCTCTGTGAGAATCTACAAGTACTCTATTCGCTATTGTAAAACAAGGCACATCAATTGTAACAACACTATGCCTTCAAATTAACTACGACAGCATAAACCAACTTGACTTGACAGACCGCCTCACTGAAATTAGATCACTTAAAAACCTGTATCGTAGTTTTAAAGTTGTTTTTTAAGGAGAGAATAATCACATTTTTTTCACGATACGTTTAATCCCAAATTCTGTAAAACCACAGAAGCCTTGACTATTCCCACAAATTACAGCTTAATCTTTGTGTACAAAAGAACGTTCAGTTCTCTTTTATCTTAGCCATAGGACATACTTCTTTCTCTTAAATATTTCCCAAATCTTACTTATTTATAGTTGAGTATCTGAAAAGTGATGAGCCACAGCTGACTGCACTCGTAAATCTCACACAACTCCTAACTACTGATTTTAGCCTCA